AATGGACAACTTTGTCTCTGCACGATTTTAGTGGACAGCTCCTCTATATTTTTTCTCTCTCTCAATTTTAGTGGACAATTCTATGTAACGAAGACGTCTTCCGTCACCGTTATTGTCTATTCGGTCATGTCTTCTATCTACAAAGACGTCCTCTATCTACAAAGACGTCTTCTATCTAACGAGTTATCCATTCGGTCATGTCTTCTATCTACAAAGACGTCCTCCGTCACCGTTGTTGTCCACAAACACTGTTACGGTCACCGTTTTTGTCCTTCGTCACCTTCTTCGTCACCGTTTTTGTCCTCTGTCACCGTCACCGTTTTGTCCTTCATCACTGTCTCTCTCATGTCTTTGTCCACCATCCATCACCAATCTATGTTCACCACCTTAAATCACCATAAGAGAGAGGAGAGGTATTTACGTGAGAGAAAGAAGAAAAACATAGAAGAAGAGAGAGGAGAGAAATTTATGAGGAAAAGAAAAAGTGAGAAAGAGAAAAGAGGGATTTAAAAAAGAGAAAGATGATGTGTAGAAGAGAAAGTATAAGGATATAAATGTCTTTTGCTTATACACTAAAAGACAAAATGTGGCAATTTTTACAAGCCATCAAGATTATGGCATTTTTTTAAAGACATTTTCCAAAAATGGCATTTTTGACAATTTTCCCTATCCATAATATCTAATAAATAACACACAAAACATCTATTGAATCAAAAATCCATAATGGTTTTGAGAATCAAAATCAAATCTTTGTTTTGAAGTTTGGGATGATTCTGAAGAAAGGAATCCAGATTTATCGCCACGTACAATTTGGAGAGCGCGCAAGACCAGAATCAGATGATCCGAGAGCAGAATGCAGCAACTAAGCAAAATAGAAACCCTAAATAAACCCTATTTTTTCTTTCTTCTCACACAAGTTAAACTGAGATCTCTTCTTTTTGTTGTCTTGTTTTGGGACTGGTGAAGAATGGGCTGTTGTTCAAACCAAACAATCGCGTTTAGCGAGATCTTGTAAGTCCTCTAAGAGAGTGTAAAAAATACATTTTGTTTTCGAGTTTTTTTTTTGTTTTGTGTTCTTTAGAAGATTTGAAGAATTAATCTATATGTTTTGTCTTTGTTTTTGCTTCTGTTAGTAACGAATACTGTTCCAAGTGCACCAAAACGTTAGGAGCAGATCTCAAGTGAAGACAACGCTCTAAAGAAACAAAAACACAACATCTTCAAGCCTCTTCTCTGCTACCAGTTTCTTCTTCCGGTAATTAAGAACAATTCTCTGTTTTTCCTCTGTTTCCCACTTTGCCTTGTTGAAACTCAAACCTTGTGGTGTTTTGTTATTGGTCTTTGGCTTATTTTAGAAACCAAAAAGAGTACTGGAGTTTTAAAGCAAAAATTTTATGTCTATTGTTGATGGTTTCTTGAGGTATTGTATTGTTGCAAGATAGAAAACAGAGTTTATGTCTATTGTTTAAAGACTCTTTTGAGTATTCTTGTAGCTATGATTATTGGCTACCATTTAATTTGGAAATGTCTAAAAAAAAAAACACTTTGGAAGATTTAGATTTCCAAATACATGATGCTCTCACTATCATCCCAAAAATCTATGAACGACCAATAAGTCTTAACACTACTTCCAATTGCTCCCAATGTCCTTGGCATGTTCAATGTTTTTATTTCTATCCTTTGTGCTATCTCATTCCTCTCCAAATCATAAATGAATAAGTGTAAGAATGTAGGTAGATTCAACTTTTCACCTACCTTTGTCAACCAAACCTTACCACTATGGCTAGTGCCACCAATCATGATCCGATCTCCTCGGACGAAACTCATATGAGAAAGAGGCAAAACAAAAGTCTTCTTGTTCGACCACTGACTCTTCTCAGCATCTTCAAGAACCCAAACATCCACAGTACCATCAATGATACGACTCGAGGATCTAAAAATAGCTATTTTGCCTTTGTAGTTCATGAGACTCAACCAAAACAACTCCGCGGTATTTGGTAACTCGATCATTTTGAACTCTTCCGAATTGAAGTCAAAACTCATAAGTATAACATGTCTACTACTAAATGCAGGACCACTCCAAGCTTCATAATACAAAACACCCTTAATGATCATCATTCGCCAGAAAGGAGCATACGGAATGTGGCATTGAATCTTTCTCCATGAAGCTCCAGCTCCAAGTACCAACACTTGATGTTCTGGAGACTTCTTTAAGGTGTCGAATACCACGCTAAGCACTTTGTATTCATCACGAACCGGATCGTATCCAAAATAGTACATCTCATATTTTCTCCCTATGCTTCAGATCTCATTACGGGTAATTCCACAACCTGCCTTGTGTGGATGTTACAAATCCGTACTCGGTTCCCAAATGTAAAACAGGCCAAGCCACGAACAGCGCTTTCGAAGGTTCCTTGCAGTCCAGGGAAGGTCAGAACTTGGTCCATTACAGAGACAGATGTGTCCGAGTGATCACGAGCCGATGATGCGAGCAACGCATAATTTTCCTTGTCCACAAAATACGCGAACGAACGTTGACGTAATGAGCAAGATATAAGGAAAAGATTGGTCAAGTATCTAGAGGAGATAAGGGAAAACCAGAGTTTTGAGGCACACTTGAATCTCATCAGAGATTTCGCCGGCAATCTCATCAGAATCTCGACCACTAGTTCCTCCGGTAAGA